AATAAAGAAATTTCTATCAAAGTTTGAAATCAAATATTAAATATAAATATAAAATCAACAGAATAATTTCTAGATATATAGAATAAATAAAAATTCAAAATCAAAAAGAATCAGAATATCTTCTATATTAATAGAGAAATATTTTCTATACTTATATTCATAATTCAATATTTTTTCGATTATATATATCTTTCAATAATTATTATAGTTCATATGTTCAAAACATTTATATTATATAAAAATATTCTAAATTCTAAATTTATTTAAAAATTCATGTACTTAATATTAAAATTAAAATCATTTCAATTAATTCGAATAGAATCAGAAAATCATATCTATTTATTATATTTTTCTTAAGAATGTCAACAATATAGAAATGAAATTTTTAGATAAATATTTTAAAAATTCAACCATCATCAAATACCTCTTAAATTGTTGATTTAATATTATGTAAAATTCGTAAATCCAATCCTTGCAGAGCCTTTCGATATTTATTCAGATTTATAATTTTTCTTTCTTGAAATCCCATCGCCGACATTATCAATTCTTCCCAGCCGATCATCAAAAACGAAATCTTTTTAATAAATCTGACCTAGTGTAAACTCGCCAATTCTTTATCTTATAATATCCGTCTTAATCCATCAGATTCGTTCAGAGCGTTTTGCAACGAAAGCACACAGAGTGGTGCGTTGGTCTAAGTTGCCTTCAGCAATGAACCCTTCACAGAATCTCACAGTTCGCGAATCGAACTGCAATTCCTCATGAGTTGAGGCCTTTGAGAGCATCTACGCTCTGAACTCAGAACCATTTCGCGAACCCTTCACCCGCTGAGTCAATTGGTAGGACGTGAAATCTCGAAGAGCCAAAACTCGGCTGCGGTGGGCTTGAGGGTCAAGCTCTGAATTCCGGCTCTCCAGGAACACCCAATGATGCTCCGAAGAGTAATATGTCTGTAAATGCTGCGAGGGAACCTAAGAGACAACGAACATCCGGAAGAGTTGCTCTGAACTCTTCTGCAAGTCATCTCTACCTGCCCGGGCAGCCGCGGCCTCAAAGGGAAGCAGCTGCCGCATCACAGCCGGTGAGATGGTCTCTGGCCACTGCCGAGCACGGAATCAACGGCCAACGACAAGCCTTGCAATAATGAAGGGATCGGCGCGTGGCAGTGGCAGTCCATTTCAGCAAAATGTAAGATTCTATTCAAAAGGCTATGTGCATTGGTGAAGAACCTCTCTGGGCAACTGCTGTCTTCGTGCGAAGACCACCGAAGCCCAACATGCACGCGAAAGAGGGGATCTAGTGACTAGGGCTCGTCTTGCCTCTGCTACTCATTCATTCGTACTCTAAGGCCTCAGCTACGGCATGCGACTACGATACGACAGTGCGAAATAAGACTGAAGCTGTGGCACAAAGTCGTTTTGAGCGACAGCAACCATTTCCCGGAGTCGAAGCTAATAGCGATTCGGCCGCTATGCTTCACTGCAATTTACATGAATCTTGTTCCACCTCCTGCGCCGTGCACCCAGAAGATACTTTCACCGGAGAAATGGGTTCAGTGGTCCAACAGTCAGGTTTGGCAGCTGCGTGCCACCACTGCTGTAGTTGGTCGCTGGCCCATACACCTGAGTGCAAGTTCGAAGGGATCCAATGCTGAGATTGTTTTCCAAAATGGCATCTGAAGAGCTAGCTGTTAGCCATTGTCACGAAATGCTAGCTGCTAGCATCTTCGGATTGTCTTATGCCTGTCCTGGGAATCGACAGGCATCCATTTCACTGAGTGGTACTGACAATCTCAGCCTGCTTTCAGCATTGCTTTGCCTTTCCAACTAATTGCCGCTAGCGGACCGTCGGCGAGGAGCCAGGCAGCAGCCTCGGATAGGCTGCGAAGCATCAACACTGCAATGCTGCAACCACTGCGTTCCGATAATTTTTTCGATTCAATCATTCACTATGCTTACTCTCGCGGATTCAAACCGCCTTTCCTGCATGCGTTCTTCGGCCGCTGGCTTAGTGTCGGACCAAGCACAACAAACAGATTCAGGTGAAGTTCTATCATCACTGGGCAGGAATGTCTGCCGAGCCGCGGAGGAACAGCCCCTGGTACCTTCCAATTGATTGCAAGGACATGGCGGGAATTTCTGACTGCTCTCTGCACATGAGTGATGGCACAGCGAGATCGTCAGCTGCATATTGTGGCGACCACCAATCATGGCAACGATCTACCCAGGCCTGGTTTCCGCATCCGTTGCAGTAGGCAGCATCTGGCCTGGGCTGTAAATTCCTTTGAGCGCAGTGTGGGGCAATATTTCTATTTCCTGAGCTGCTCTTGATCGCAAGATTCTGAAACTTCTGACCTGAGTACCGCCAAGTGTGTGGCGGAAGCGCTCCACCGTAGCCGCCACAAGCAGCATTCATAGGCGCCCCATGCGAACCACCACCGGAAACGCTGACAAGGTTTGCCGGCACCTGCAGGACTGGGCAGAGCCATGGTGTTGACAAGAAGCCGCAGCAGGAAGAAAACTCGCATCAAAACACACTGGCATGACGATAAGGTCAAACTTCTCAGTTTAGCTCAGAACTGCATGGATGCCTCGATGACAGATGCTTCAACCGGGGCGCCCCTGGAAAACAAAGAGCAATGAGAAAGTGGCTTGGATTCAGGACAAGGACACGCAAAGTGGAGCACTTTGGCAAACTTGCTATCTAACATCTGCTTTCTTCGGTAATGGATACCAAGCTGGACGACTGCTTCGAAATGCGTCCGTGCTTTAACAAGACTTGGAGCCGGTCATGGTTGACGCCGGGGTTGCCATCATGCCGAAGTCGACCTCATCGTTCACAGGTAAATAAGCCTAGCATCACTTTTACAGACTTGCCTTGGCCTCGGATCACCACATGGCCGGCAAAGGCGCAGGAAGGAATGAGGCTGAGGCAGTCGTTGCGGATCTTGCAGACGGAGATACTCCTCCATCCACCTCAAGCGAGGCCCGAAATGGCCCGAATGAAAGAAGCATCATAGTTATCTTTCAACTCGTAGCCCGGCCCAGTGCGCTCTCCGGTTCCTCTGCTTCTCTTGTGATCTGACAGGCGAGCATACGATTCGGCTGAAGCCCAGAATGCTTCGAAAGAGCACACGTGCTTCTGGCTCTGTCGGCTTAGCTTGACTTGGCTTGTTCCGTATATCCAACTGATGGCCCGGCTTGGTTGGAATCATTTTGGAGTTGAGTTACTCGCAAGAAGTGATGAGCCACAACCTGCATGCACAGAAACGAGAAACGATGCGCATCCTAAAGTACACGGACATGCGGGCTCCACTTTTCGTGGCACAGCACGAAAACACGGACACGCCCTTTGAAGGAAAGCATCGACACATCGCTGCTAGGCACTGTGCAACGCAACTTACAAGTTGTGTCGGGAAAAAGGTCAAACCACCAAGGCCTAGCAAGCCCGCCAATGTCCCTGTGAGGCACGAGTAAAAAGGCTGCCTTGCTGGCATTAATGCTTCTTCGATCGAACACTTTTAATGGTTGCCGAAGTACGAAATCTCCTTTGCAATTCAGAAACTGTCTTGGAGTGCTCAGTGGCTGTTTCCACTCTGAGCCACGGACAGGGTAGTACCTGGTGTTAACCTGTGCGCGTGGCCAGCGGCAATGCCGGCTTGTGCATCGCACCGCATATCACGTCTTGCTGAGTCTTGCTTGAGGTCTGGACGGCACCGGGAGTAGGAGGAGGCAAGGTCGACCTCAGGTTGACACCAAGGCCCAAGGCGGCGCAGCCCGGAGCTCAGCATCTCTTCTGCAGCTACCACCCATCCACCCAGCCTCTTCCTCCTGATGCCCCTCTCTTTGCACAGTTCGCACCACTTTGGTCAATCCACGCTTTGTCTCCAGCTCGCTTCAGCAGTAGCTCCAGGATCAAGATGCACGAGAAGGCACCGGAAGAAACCCTTGTGCAGTGCAGGTGAAAGCGCGTTGCTCCTTCCAGGCTTGGCTTCGCAGCTGGTACTAACAAACCCTGGAAGGATGCCCTTGATAGTGGTCATAACGCGACCCTCTTTAGAATCCAGCATCGCTTCTCAATTTGACGCAGTAAAACGGGCCTAGGAGCTAATCTTGACTGTAGCTCACACGGGGTCCGCACGCTGCCAAAGAACCGCCTGCAGTCACCATGGAGACGTCAGCACCTCAGAAGGGAAGCACAGCCTTACTTTCCCGATGTAGGAGATGCGCCAAGCCCTTCACACCTCTTTTGCACCCCAATACGATCGCACAATCGGTGTGCTAAGCTCTCGGCCAGTCCAGTCCAGTCGCTGGCGATTCCTGACCAGCTCCTGGACCTGGACGGGGCACGGAGGCTACCGATCAAAGTGCAACAATGTGCAATACATCTCATCTCCAAGGAGCTCGAGTCTAGTCCTGATTCAAGGCAGATCACGGGACAGGAAAGTGGCGAATGTGTAGGTCTTTCTACTAAACATTAATTTTTGTCCAACCACAGGAGCACAAGATATGGACCTTTCCAGTTCTTCTCGGAGACGACCCCAAGACACACAAGGACGGCAAATTACGGTACCCTCCTCGATCGCATCGGCAAACATGAATCCACCGCACCCGAATTCAATTGACCGGCAAAGCGTCAGGCCTCAACAACCTTGGGCACGTGCTTGGTAACCTTTGCTAAATTTGCCACAATCAACTCCTGCATCTGTTGCAAACAACTTTCTCAGCTTGTCTGCAGCTAGTGAGACTTCTTTACGATCGGCCATATCATGCACTGTCCACAAGGATTGGGCAGTCTCCGGCTGACGTGATTCAATACTTTCAGCTGGCCTCCTGCACTCGAATCTCAGGGTGCTCGACAACCTCAATGGGCAAGCGCATTTTCATCACAAGACGCACGAAAGCGCCACCACTGTGGAAAGCAACAATCAACCGGAGACGTTTCTGACACCAACCACGAGCATAAATGGCTAAATACGGCTTGGGGCTCGTCTTCAGAGATCACGGAACTCAAGAAGCAGCAGGAAATTGAGGCTCACACCTTCTCCTGCACCTGCGGAAGCCACGGCAAGTGCGGGCAGGTGTGGGACTCCCTGTCCCGCTTGTGGTCCGGTTTTGGTCAGCTCAGGCTCTATGCTGCCCTCTGCTGCAACTTCGGCGAGGCTTCATAGGAACAGCTCAGATATTCAAGTCATTCAAGTCTTCCTATCCTTTCATGCCGGCAGAATACTTGACGCGTCCCGTCCAAAGCCACGAAGTTGCCACGAAGCGAACCTACAAGAGCAATGCCGAGCCTGCACGCACGGAACCTCGATGATCCTTTCGCGTGTCTCGATCTTAGGAACGGTCACCTGCAGTGTTGAATATACAACGCGAAGTGACAAGAACCAGTACGAACTCATTGATCTGAGCAGGCAGCGTGTCGAATCACTTCCTGCACCTGCACCTTCGGAACCTTGTCAGGATGATGGCTTTTCGCGGTGACGGCGACACTGCAAACCGTGCACCATGCAAGATACAAACCAACTTTGGCACAGTGCCTCGACGATCTTCTCAACTGTCTGGACGTGGGGGACCTGGCAATGAACGCGAAACCATGGTGCCGTGCTACCTTGGATGATTCGCAACCGACGTCTGTCTCCTAAATTGACCCTCGGCTCCAAACTAAACTCAAAGGCCTCTACGACGCGCTCACGGACCTGCACATCAACCTGCACGAGGCCAATCGCTGACAGCCCAGCTGGCTTCAGGTCTCTTGCATAGGATTGTTGCTTCACGCAGCAACTCACAGTCATTCGCGCCTTCGGCACGTGCCGAACCACTTCCTGGACATGAAGCTTGGGCACGTGCTTGACGACCTCGTGCACCTGGCAATGTTTTCCTGGAGCGGATATGCACCCAAAGAGCGGCGCATAGCAACTCCAACATCTGCATACATCTGCCCTCTTCAATCGACACAGATCTGAGCAGCATGACAAGTCCAAGTAACCATGCGCCCGCCTGTGTCTGCGGGACCTGGGAGACACGAGCTTAGCCCAAAGGGGAAGATTTGAGTGGCTTTGTGATCTATCGGCGCCACAACTCGCTCCTAATCCTCCTCCTCCTCTTCTTCCTCCTCCTCCCGCCTCAATGATCTTTTCGACGACTTGCACTTGAGGGACTTCGATCACCTTCTCCTGTGCACATGGCTTCCTTTCTAGCTATAAATGCTTTAAGGTGTGGATAGTAGTGTGGATTGCCGGGCAGGCAGCACGGACATGTGGAGGAGGAGCACAGGAAATGAAACTTTACTCTTGTACCATCCTGATCGCGTGGCGCAAACATTGAGCCCATTGCACTGTGGCGAGACCCAGCGTCAGCTCGGGCACATTTGCACTGCGCTCTGGTGCCTGGATCTGCACATCGATCTTGGGAACGTGCCTCACAACCTCTTGCACGTGAACCTTTGGCACCTGAGATCAGATGTTTGAGCGCATGCCATGCCGGCCAGAAAGTTGGCGAAGCTAGACTCCCAGACGGTTTATGGAAGCTATGGGCTCCAGGAGCTCAAGGCGCAACTGGCGCGAGATCTGGGGATACAGGTACTGCCGGAAAACCCAACGTTCAATCACTCCACCCCGGCGTAACAACATCAAAAATGAACCCAGCGGCGTGACGCACAACCTCCTGCACGACGGTCTGAGGCACCTCCACAACCTGTCCGGTGCGCATTCTCGATGGCGCACATCATTTCAAATCTGACTGCATGACGACGAGAGGAAATCTGTTGACGTACACACTCATCAAGCCGATTGCAAGTGATTGCAAGACAGTCAAGACAAACGCGCGGAGCAGATTTAGAGTTGCATGTTTACTTAGGTGTTGCCAGGAAGTGGATCAAGTCCAGCAGTTCGACTGCAAGTGAGAAGATGTTCCCTCATCTTGCCCATGCATCCATGAGTCACGGATGAAATGTAGGAACCTAGGGGCTTGGACAACTAAAGGCCCCGTAGCCGTAAGCGCATGCTGGCTCAGATGAATTCAAACTCGAAGGAATTACTGTCCCGTCGCGATCTGCACGATGGGCCTCTGTAAACAGATCAATCAATTGACTCCTGCTGACGTACAAAACGAACCATACTATGCAATTGGGACTTACTGACTACTTACATCCTACTTCCTTACTACTCACCCACTACTTGCGTGATTACCTGGTTGATTACCTACTTTACTTATTACTTGAGTGCCACCTGCTTACTACTTACTTCTTGCTTACATTACACGCGTCCTACTACTTCTTCCACTACTGCTTCATACTGCATGGCCTTCTCGACATGCTGTATCTGCGGCACTTCGATGATGCGCTCCTCCACCCGAACGTCCTAAGAATGCACAGGGCACTGTCTTGATTTGTATGATTCTGCACATGCTCTGAAAGTCATCCACTATCTCAGCCTCGATGGTCAATCAGACAGCATCACTTGCACTGTTGATGTAGCACCCTTTCCTACCGTCACAGCTTGCCATTGCGCTAGCACCCTACCGTTGCAGAGCAAGAATCGATCTTCGGAATGTGCTTCACCTTGCAGCGGAGCAGAGACAATTCCCGAGCTTGTTGACTGCAAGTCGAGCCACGCCCCGTTTTCTAGATGCCAACCAGTTGCAATCTCTTGCACCTGGATCTTTGGGACGTGCCTGTCCACCGTTTGAACCACAGTTTGTGGCACCTCCACGATCTTCTCCTCAATGCAATCAATCGATTTTGGAGCAGGAAGCCCGAAAAGCCACAGTACTTCCGGTGCAAGACGAAACAAGGAATAATTTTGCCACCCGGTTGCCACTTGATGGATCTGCGGGTGCTCGACGATGCGTTCCTCAAGCTTCACCTGTACACAACATTCCGAAACTTTACCAAGCCCAGGCCGATTTGCAGCGTACGCACTGATCTGTGCGCATCAAAGACGGAAAGCATGGCTTCTGAAGTCTGCCTCGATTTTTGGAACATGCCGCACGATTTCCTGCACTTCGATCTTGGGCACGTGCCGCACTACCTGCCCACCCGCACAAGGTGTGATGGCACGAAACATAGGGCAATGCATTTGTTGATTCTGACGGCCAAGCAAAAACCTTGAGCCCTTGCCTCCTGGACACGAATCTCCGGGACTTCAACGATCTTCTCGACGTACTGCACTTGTGGGACCTGGCAGCTAACAGACAGCATCGGGTGAGCCATCGCAGAGAGCGGCACAGTCCACAAGGGCTTCCAGGCAAACGTCCACTGCCCACCTCCACGATCTTCTCTACCTTGCATCGTTCAGTAGATTTCGCTGTTTCGTGTTCGCACTCGAGCTATTGTCAAGCCTGCTTGTGAAACTCGCAGTCATTGACTGAGGTGGCTGCCGTTCTGATTTCGATCTTCGGCACGGTACGCACGATCTCCTCTTCGCTTGGCTGTCTGGGTGTCTAGTTTGTGACGGGATCTGTCATCCTTTAGCTCAGCAACATCGTAGCACCGGCCTGTGTCTCAATCTTCGGCACATGCCTGCGCTCCAGGAGCTCTGCATTGACGTGCTTTAGAACTTCACAAGGCGTCCCACTTCCGACTACATGCGCTTGAAGCCCCTGCATGTTCTATTCTGGGCTACCACGAGATAGGCATGCTGAGCCTGACCACTTCCTGTACTTGTACTTGCGGCACCTTGCACACCGTCACCAGCCGCTGAAAGTTGGAACATGCCTCGCTTCTGCAGATCGTCCGCGGTCTTGCCTCGACGACTTTGTCAACATACTGCACCTGTTTCTCGGAATGTCATCAAACCACAGTTGCCCGCCAGCTACTTGGATCCATTGAATGTTCTCGCTGCACCGGGTTGCACACACGTCGAAATGAGCAACATGCACTGCAAATTCACAAGCAGAATGCCTGTGGCACTTCGACCAGCTTCTCCACGACTTGCGTGTGGATCCTGATACGTGGCAAGAGAGCAGCACGACGAATACTAGTGTTTTTCAAGAGGTTCCGAGCAAGACCTGTGCAACAGTCTGTGCTGGTAGGGTAAGGCTTTATCTAACGTCTCGTACCAGTCCTTTCGTGAGAGTCACCTGTATTCTTGCTTGCCGGCCAACACCGTAGGGAGGTGTCCCGCGAATGGCCCCATGGCCCCATGGGCCAAATGATGTATTTCTCTTGCTATAGCGAAATCCGCCCGGACTCCTCAGGAATCGGCGCGCCCTCCCCGCACGATGATCCAGTGCAGCGTCTGTGTCGCTGACCCCTTCCAACAGGTGGCCCAGGTTCCTGGTTTCGGGCCTCGACTTCCGGCCACGTATTGCAATTTGTGTAGAATGCTACCAGTCATGGTATCACGATGGGTTGCGCCGTACATTTCGGCGAGAATCTTGACAGTCATTGGCACCTCAATCGCAGGCTGGAACTTAATGTTGTGGTATGACACGACAGCAGCATACGGAAGTACAACAAAGACAGCATGTGTAACACACGTCATGTGTCCGGTTGGTCCGCGATATGCCCATACGAGGAGGGCGGGACGACACCTCTCAATTTTCAAGCCTCCTCCCTCTTGCGTGTTGGAAAGATCATGAACACCAGGCATTTGAGTACGAAGAACCCAGTGCAAGGAACTTCAATACATGCCATGGTCGCTTTGGAACGTGATGAAGTCGTTCTTGGATCTCAACTTTAGGCACCTGTCAGACACAACGAGGGCAAAAGCATGGCAGCCTTTCCATACTCATTACTGTCGCCGCTCTGTGTTCGGAACGTTGACACTTGAATGGCAAGATTGCTCATGGGATATGAGAACATACGGCCAAATTCAACCCCAACAGAATGTAGCTAAGTCGAGCAGAACATGACCTCCACAAGCTTTTCGACGAGCTGGACCTGTGGCACCTGCATGCTGTCAGTCTGCAGAAGCTGTTTCTGAGCTGATTTGACCTGATGTGGAGTACATGTCAGATTTCACTCGTCTAGAAGAATCACGAATGCGTCGCAAATCTTGACAGCTGGATTGCGGCACAGGTCGGACAATCGCCAGAGCCTTTGCTAATGACCGATCACAGAAGTGACGCGGGACGGGCCTCGACGATGCGATCGACGGTCCTAAGCAACAGCTTCTGTAACTTCAACATGTGCCGTCTTTGCTGTCATTCCGTTGCACCTTGCTGCAGGTGCAGGAGATGTTCGCGCTCTATTGCCCACTACAAGTTTTGGTGGCACCAAGACGACTTTCTGTATCGGCATCTCAGCATTGCTGGTAATTTGGCCAGACACTGCTAGATAACTGACCACGAAGTAGTTTTGGCCGCGCCGTGCCAATGGACGCCCTTGCTCAGCTGAAACAGGTCAAGGCTCTGAACTTCAACCTTGGGCACGGTGCGCACGACCTCCTGGACTTGAACCTTCGGCACCTGAACGCAACATGAGGATACAAGCTCTTAACCCCAGGGCCAACCAAGACCCTCCTGGCTTCAACGTCCTGATTTGAATGGACAAGACTTCCCACGCTCAAGGCCGTGCGCGCCCTCGATCTAAGTGCCGAGCTTCGACCAGTCGCTCCTGAGTCTCTGGTGCATAGGAGCTCTGTGCGCACAGATGCAGTACTAGTCTTGCAACCTCGCAATGAACCTCACGCATTCAGCAACAGTGGCAATGCCGGCAGCACGCACTCAGCGGTCCTGCAAGTGCACCTGCGGAACCTCCACAATCCTGGGCTAAACGAGGCAACATCTTGGGGCTGCTTACAGATTTACCCTTCCTCACCGAACACGGACATTTGCAAAACCCATGTCGTGGAGTCTGTGCTTGGTGTGCAACTTGCTCCGCATACCGGCCATCTCTGACTGCAGCATGCTGCTATATTCAATGCCGCATTCTGCATATGTTGCACCTGTTTGACAATTCAAGTTGCCTGTTCAAAAACCATTCGACACAACCTCGACCTGCCTTGCCCCACGCAGCGGCTTCGCATCACTGTCATGCATGCAGAAGAGAGTCCTTTCCCGGTACTCCATTTGGATCTTTGGCACCTCACGGACTACCTGCGGCAGTGAACACGTAGCTGCAGAGGCTCTGGAGCGAAGCCTTACTCCGGCAAGGTGAAGAGCAGAGAATTCGCCTCATGCACCTCCAATTTCGGCACATGTCGGACCACTTCTTGCACCTGCACCTGAAAGGAGTTGCAGACACGGGCCACGCACTCATACCCAAACTTCTAAATACCTCTAGTACACGTTGGATTGTTGGAGTTCTGCTAGCCCGCACGCTTCGAAGCCGTCTAAGCAACACAAACAAGGTGGACATGCTGCCACGGCCTGTGGCACTTCTACAAACTTGTCCACCAGTGCAACCTTGCGGGAAGGACAGCATTGCACCCTCGGCACCACTCATGCACATGAAAGACTGCTATGAGCCAGGCCCATAGCTGTTGCGCTACTCTAATTGCTCTGAAGCATCATGCTGGGTGCTTACTGTCACCATGAGCATCATCAGCACCAGCGTGACCGAGTGCTCACCACAGTCTGCAGGTCCAGTAACATTTCAGCAAAGATTTACTAACTCCTCATGTATTCGCTTCAAGGTTTCACCTTCCTCACGCCTTTTTTGCTTCATAGTTGTCGTAGTCGTAGTGCTTTATTGGCACACCAGGCTAAGGAGTGCATTGCCGGGCAAAATCATGAGTCACTATGACAACACTGCTAAAGACACTATGATTTCAAAAGTCCGAATCACCTTCATGATGGTTAGCACTATCGATGTTAGAATGTTGGAATCGATAGACGGTTGCCAAATTACAAGCAGGAGCTCAGAAGGACAAGGAATCACCTCCATCGTCACCACCACCACAGAAAGGAGCATGGCCATCATCAGATCTTGAAGTTGGGAATATTTAGGTTCGTGCTCAAAGTCTGGGACCATATATTGTGTTTCAGGTGCCCTAAACCTTAAACCGGCAGCGGAGTACACTAATGAGTTTCGTAGGCATGCAGCCTCCCTCGCCAAAATGAGACGAGTGATCAAGCCATGAAAATAGACGTCAAGCTGCAGCTTGCCATGTGGTCCTGATTCTGCACGCAATCGGACAACCGGCGCTTACGAAGAGCGTTTTCAGTGTGTCCGAGTTTCTCCAAAACGGTGGTGATTGACGATGGTTTCTTAAGAGATCATGAGCCAGTAGGATACATACATGACGGTCGGAGATATCAAAGCCACAAACATCAACAATGGCACCGTACAGCAAGTCAGCTTCAGAGGGGCCTGTGGTACCTCCACCAGCTTCTCCACCGTTCGAATCTGCAACAGGATCACAGGCAGTCATACAGTGAGCGTGGCACGACCAAAGACCACCCATCAGCGTTTGATGGCGCCTCCACCTTTGGCACCTCGTGGATAACTTCCTGGACCTGCCATGGAACAGACTGCCGGAAGTCGGCGAGAAGTACAGAAATCTCGAAAACCCTCTGAACTCTGAACTCCGCATGCCCTACTGAAGCCCTGCATCGTTCAGCGCTGTAGACAAGAAGTAGGCCTCCAGGCGAGGTACTGTTCGAACAACCTGACTGCAACAAGGCGAGATTGCGACATCGTCGGCTGCCCACGCCCACGCGCGAGGCTCCAATCACGAGCAGATTGCGACCACAAGCTCGGCCTCTTGAATCTGGACTTGAGGCACTTCGACCACTTTCTCCACAGTGCAAACCTTTGGCACCTGCACACTGCTGAGACAAGGTGTCGAAACCCTCAAGATCAAAAATCCTTGTGATACCACGTCGCTCTTACGTGTCACAGAGTCTATTCCAAGCGGAACTTGCCGCAACAGCACCTCGACGATCCGCTCCTGCACCTGTACCTGCCGAGTCTCCCAAAACGGGCCATCCGGAATCTCGAGCGGAGATCAGAATCCCATCGTTCTCCCTGCCTGAACTTTCGGTATGGTCTTTACCTCGGCTGCAACCGCTGCCAAAGCCCACCTCTCGGACTAGAAGTCGTGGAGTGGAGAGTCAGAAGTATCTGAGGAGCTCAGGCCAAGGCAACTTCCTGAATCTCGATTTTTGGAACAGTTCTAACCTTGACCGAGGCACGAATGTACATGCTTACAGCAGAGACGGCAGTCAGAAAGAATCTTGGAATAGCAAGCAATGCCCAAAGAGAATCTCAATCAAATAACGAACTTGATACTCATTAAGGCAAGAACCACCTCTTGAGTGTGCACTTCCGGCACCTCTACAATTTTCTCCACGTAGCGGACCTGGTGAGGGTAGCGTTTCTCATGCCCGCAATGCTCCGTTCATGGGGGTTCCCAGCCTCTGGAACTTCTACTACTCGCTCCGAAACCTGGCACGAGAATCCAGGAACTTGGGGGAAGGGACTCTTTTTGTTCAGACGAGCTGCTACTAGCATTTCTTCGCCCTGGCTGGGGTGCCTGGTACTCTATCTTTGGCACCTCTTTGATGATTTCATGCACCTGGCAGAGCAGGCTCGCCAGGCCACTTTCTCCCGGCTTCTTTCCGGAAAACTGTGTTCATGCCGCTCGGAGCCTCGAGCTTCGGCACAGCTCTAACGACCTCCTGCGTGCAAACAGTCGGCACCTGCCAATGAAATGTCTGAGTGGAGAGATCAGGAGGACCAAGTTGAAGTGCTTTGACGCATGCGAGCATCAATCCAGGAACAACCGAAAACATCCCACTCTACCATACACATTACATCGTGGGATGCGGCATTATTGGCAGGGCTGTGTTACGACGATGTCATCGTGTAACTGGCATTTGCTACAGAGGCTTCCTCGGGGTATGAAAATCTCTAGGTCGTTGTTCACCAGCAGATCTTGCTGTGTGTATGTGCATGAGGGTATATGCGTTATGCTGTTTGTTTACGTGCAAGCGCGCATGCTTTCGTGTGTAGAGCGAGGGCGGCAAGCATAGATATGGACCCAGTTGTGTATGTGCAAGTGGTTGCTGTGCTTGCAAAGTTTATTGTCAAAAGTGCAGGTTCCGTGTATGCATGTCCGTCCGTCTGTCAGTCCGTCCTTCGTCCGTCGCTCCGTCCGTCCGTCTGAATGCATTCATGTATGTATGCGTGTGTTTGCGTATATGTTTGTATGCATGCCAGCATTTATATATGCACATACATGTATGCATGTTTGCATGTGTGTACGTACGTATGCATGCACATTGATGGCGGTATATGTGATATATGTATATGTGGTGTAGGGCTTGTTTTTACTAGTACTTCCACACAGTACACACTCACCAATATTTTGCAAGGAGCCCTATATAGATATACCAATTCCCTGATACATATAAACCAAGCCTCACGCAGGTCTGTATGGCCGTATGCGACGCATGTTTCGTATGTGTACACACCGAGGCACCGACACATTACATACAAAGAGTCGAAATGCGCTTGCACCGTAACATGGGCAAGTGTGTGTATATATATATATACATATATATATATATATATACGGACACGTATGCATATATGCACACAAACACCCACCTACACATCTAAACAAAAGCACGAGTGTCTTGCTTTGTCCGTTTACTCATACGCACACTGCACAGGCCTCAACGAGACGTTCCTTCACGATGGTTTGCGGCACTTCGATGAGGATGTCGCCCCCGGCCTGCGTGTGCAGGTTTGCATATGTGCTCGTGTGCGCGGGCGACATATGTCTGCAGTTTCTACTTTGCGTGCTTCATTGACACCCATTGAAACCATGTATTGGTCCAAGAGGTCTCTTGTCAAGCTACCAGGACGGAAGTCGCTACTTCGTCTTGACTGTAGAGACAGTAAGCCGACATAAACAAGCATTCCAAAGCATCTCTGATTCTAGGCAGCTCTGAGGCTTTCCGCCTGCAGGTTGTCCCCTGCTCGAGACCTCGTGGAACCAGCCAGCACGCCCAAAATGATGGCAAAGCGCTCAAAGCCAAGCAGCCCCATGGACGTCGACACCGGGGTCTGGAGCTGAGTCGCTTGACCTGTACATAATCTTATTCTATTATAGATAATGCTATTTTTTATTTTCAAGACTCTCTGCGCCACAGTTAGCCAACTTGCAGCCGCCTGGGGATGAATACAAGCCCGACATCGTGGACGTGGCCAGGGCATCCTCAATGTGTCGAGATGCAGAACCGCCCGATGGTGTAGATTTCACATTGGCCTAGCTCCATGACTCCATGACGTCTCCGCTTGGATTATTGATTGGGCTGCGGGGCGTGAAGCCTAGAGTGAGTAGGGGTTGTACGTAGGTCCTCACCTTCGATGGCCCAGTCTTTGTCTGCTCTTCCTGGAGCTTTGTCAGCCAGCCTCACGACCCCACGTGGAGTCCTCCTGCCCTTCAGAATACCCACCCGTGACCAGGTAGATCGCTTGCATCTGCCCGAAAACAAGCGGCGTGGCCTTGATGCTGATGATGCTCGTTCTGGTGACCGGCAAGGCAGCGTTTTTTGGTTTAACTTGACGCAGCGCGGCAACAGCATGTTTCCCGATTGATCTTGGGGCCATAAAGCAAGCGCTTCATATTTTGGGGCGCCATGCGGCAATACAAGCGAACATCGTCAGCATCATAGCCATCTGCTTTCGGATACAAGGCGGCCCCGAAGGCATGCATCATCAGCATCATATCCTTTCGGTTTTTGGAATGGACAGCGAACATCATCAGTATCATCGACTGATTCCAGGTGGCCGGCGATTCGGAAAAAATGCGCCGACGATTTTTGTGCGAACCCGCTGCCACCCAGAAAGAAAAAGCTATGATGCTGATGATGTTCGCTGTTCGTTTTGAAAGACCGAGGGGAGATGATGCAGATGATATTAGCTTGGTGATGCTCGTTTGCAACCTCCAACCATGAGTCGGTGATGACACTTTGCTCGAGCAGCAAGCAAGCGAGTTTTGGTTTCACGCGGCATTCCGTATGCATCCTGACATCAACTCCTGTCTTGGAATGGCATTCTGAAATATCTTTGAGATGAGTGAGGAGCGGTTCAGATGGCCAAGCTGACCTTGCACAAGTAGAATGTTGCTGCGGCATGACATGCAGATGAATCCCACAGGCCTGCGCAGAGGCGTTCCAGCTTTGTAGAATGTCGTTTGGGCTTTGGTACCTGAGATCTCTCTTGCTCTCTCAGGCCGCGTAATCCGCACGACTGCTTCACCAAAGTGTTTGCTGGCAATACTCCTTACAAGCACATATCTGACAGTAAGCTCCGGCACGACCCGTGGTAGCCACCGTAGCTGCTCCCTGCAACACGGAAGAAGTCACTTGCAGAAGTCAGGCGAGGCAATGATTTTGGCTCTTTGCAACAGGCCCTGGGAAGCACTTGCAGGTGATGTCTTTTTGCATATGTGGCTCTTTGCTGCTATTCGGCTAGCTACTGCCCCGCAGCAATGGGACTCAAAATCGCATTACCAGGTACATTACTATAGTTAGAAGATCTTGTAAGGATAGTTGGTCTAGGGTGTCATGTAGTCCGGAAGACGCGGACAAGGTATTGCACACCAAGTTCATGTCTTCAATACTAAATCTACCTTTCACAAGGTCAGAAAACAAAGGGATACTACCGTTTGGTGCTCGAAGTTCCCATCTACGGTTATGTTAGATAACCTAAACCTGACTGTTCACAGCTTGAGCGAATTACTCTGTTGCGACCCTCGCCGTTAAAAATGCCCAGTCTCCGTGTCGCTCGATTCGCCTATGTTGCCCGATCCTCTCCTCCCTGCTTCATGTGCGTTCTTTCTGCTCGTTCCGCCCTCCAATCGGCGTCAGAGTCTTCCATGACGCCTTTCTGTCCGGCCTTGCATGCCAAGTTTGTTTGCTGACAGAAACAGTCCTTCGTCATGATATCTTCCTGTGTATGCTTCTGTGACAGGAATTACACTGACTTTTGCATTAGTTAGATTGGTGTTCTCTCGCTTCCCGAACTTGTGGATTTGATCCTTTTCCTCTTGCCTTCCGGTCGGAAGCCCTTTATGCATCTCGCTGCTCATGTTTCCAACTTCGCCATGCGTTGTTGCTCAGACGTCTTCGATTTAGAAACCTTGGACTTGAGATGCTGCTAGGAAACTTTGCTTCCAAGGTGTGCCTCGATTCCCTTGCGTTGGCTTGCCAAGTCGCTACGAACAGTGCTAGAGAGATGAGAAGAGGGCGGTTGTGCGGAAGGTGTGGGGGATGAACCAAAACTTCACTGAGCTCTGATGTCACAGGAGCTGAGCCTGCCGGGCTGTGACCAAGAAGTGGCATCATCGGCTCTTCCCTGTACCACAGGGGGGGTCCGGTGCAGCACTCTCCATTGGGGTCCACTCCAAGGCTACATCATGCCAAGCGAATGGACTGTAAATCATTAAACCAGTCTGACAACTTCGCATTTTGCAATTTGTCTTGTCTCCACGTCGCCTTCCAACCATTGGCTCCAGGGCAGCTGTGGAAGGCAGCGATGCCTCGAATTTCTGTTGATAGCAGGGCGATAGTATGGCAACTGAAGATAACGAAACAGTGCAGCTCAGACAAGCGCAGTGCAACCTTCTTGGCTGCCCGAACACAGTTGCTTGGGGCAAAACACACGACAGAAAATCAGGGAGCTGCACTACAGCGCCAACACAGCACTGGACTGTCAGGCTGATTCAAGGTGTCTTTGACTCCCTTTCCTTTTGTTACAAATAATTGGAGCCATGAAACTTGGACTTGGTCCAAGCATGACTTCACCTGAGCTCGACCAGAAGCGGCTGCTTCTCGGAGCGTTCGTGCCGGAAGCTGGTTCTGGCGGCTCACATTCTGTGCAGATGTAAGCGGCACAGATGCAGTAACCCTGAATAAGCCCGACCTGCAACACTCTATCTCATCTTCCCTACACTGCCACACCCAGGGGGTACAAGTGCCGGCGTGGTCCCCTTCAGCTTGGCTGAAGACTCAGAACAAAGGTAAGCTATGCATGCGCCAAGCTGGCTGCACCGTTGAGGCAGTGCTGAAATACAGCCTTGCTGCTTGGGACCAATGCTCTAGGTTTCCACACCTTTCGAGTTGTGCGAACCTGAATTATCTCGTCGGAGCTCAGCTCGGGAGGAAATCCTTGGAGTCGACACCAGTTGCTTTTCCTACTGGAGATGGCAGCAAGGCTGAGGGCACTGAGGGCTGGACTCTCGCAGGCGCTCTCAGCCGTCGTTTGCGTCGTTTGCGTGAGGTGTGCCTGGAAGCACCACCATGCTGGTCCTCAGCGCATCGCGGCGTGCAGACTTTTGCCGGCAAACGTGTCAGCACGTCATCCCGCGAAGACATCTGCCAAGGGTCGACAGATCCGGCACTGTCTTCCCGAATGTCACGTGCCGAGGCTTCGGGGAGCTCGGCGCCGACGGCCCGGGATTCTCTGGCACTGGCTGCCTCGGGGAATGCGGGATGCATAGGTCTGGGCAAGTGGAAATCATGCCGGGTGAGATCTTGCTGGACCTCTCGGCGGCCTCGAGAACGAAGGTGACATGACACTTTGCATCGGTGTGCGTCCCGAGAGTGCAGCTAGCTCCCAGGAGGACTCTTAAACGCCCGGAACCAAATTCACAGCTTGAGCCCCCTGCTCCTTTTCATGTAGCATTTCTGCCTACATCACTGGAAAGAAGACCCAGCCTGCGCAATCCGCGTCTACGGCCTCCTAAACCCTAAACCACGGCCAGGTTCTCGGTTCTCGGAATGCAGCCCAGGCACCAAGACTTGCACTTTTCCAGCACTCCTCGCGGCATCAAGTATGGTCCCGAGTCCCGACATGTCCAAATAAATCTAATCAGAATGCACTTTGAACGCTTCTCTGCTGGAGCTGAGCTGGAGAAGAAAGTGGCTTCTAGCATGCCCACATCTGCATCTAGAGAGCATGGTCGCATCTGGAAGGTCAGTGTCTGTCTTGGCCATGCGATATCCGGTTGCGAAACAGAGATGTTGCCACCCAATGTTACAGGCCTGTGGTGCTGGTTGTTTTTCGCACAAGCAGCTGCAGCGGCCCACCTTGGTCCTGCCGGTTCGGTCGTAGAGTTCTGCCTCGGGTATGTGTTTTTTCGAAGTGCTTAGCTGCTCTCTTGATCCTTGTTTGGGAGCAAACCGTCTGCTTTGCCACAGAGCCGCGTGTCTTCATGGTCTTCAAGCGCTGCAGTGGCTTTTGATTTTGCGAAGCTCGGGAGTGCTTTCGGGCACGGCGCCTTGGCTGCACGAAGTTGACTCCAGCATAGTATTCTGATATTCCAGACACTCGTTTCGGAAATCCAGCAACGGGCACTTAGTTTCACGCTTCATTGCCGCAGAGTCAAGAACTGTGGCTGGCGAGCTGCGTTTTTTTTACTGGGCTCTGATGTCTGGGATCCTGGATTTCGAGATGTACCACATCCAACAGGCTGCAAGCCACAACAACAAGCTTCTAGTACCTTTGGTGGCATCTAGCACAAGTTGGCTCGGGTATCAGGAGTGTTGTTGGATGCAAGGTACCTCTGCTGATGATGACTAGGCCCAAGACTCTAGCCCATAGATAAACGGAAGGGAAGCTTGGCCGAATGCACCGCCAGGGACGGCTAGTAAAGCATGAAATCAAGGAGAGTGGTCAACAGATGCCTCGCCCATGGTAGCTGTGAGCCATGAGGGTTTTTCCCATGGTAGCCGACAACATTGCGATGACCCCCTTTCATTGCTATGATTATCCGTTTGCGGTTATGGTTAGCATATTTGGCCCTACTGTTCGTACTGCAATGATCAGCTTCTGTTCTCTGTAAAGGCACATGGCAGCAAAGAAGTCGCTCAGATCGTTGGAGTACAAAGCGACCTGTCGGCCCCGTGGGTGGCATAGGATTTTGGCTAAGCTACACAACTCGTTGTCTGCAACCTGTGTGGTATGTAACCAATCTTGCAATGAATGTTGCTACTGTTTCACCCATGCATCAGTTGAATATGAATACGGTCCAACTGGTGACTTGGCATGAGCACTTCGACCATTAGTGTGGCTGTGACGACGATGACAGCGGTGATGACGATGGCGATGCTGATGACTCTTCGCCTTGTGCCTGGCTATATATATATATATATTGTATATGTATATGTGTAGATAAATACAAATACAAATATAAATACAAATATAAATATGAATATGAATATAAATATAAATATAAATATAAATATAAATATAAATATAAATATAAATATAAATATAATATATATATATATATAGATAGATAGCGCAAGTCTCAAGTTACTGCGATTTGACTATACTTGCGATTGCGTGGGTGTCGGCGGTGATGGTTACAACGACCAACTTATTCCCGTGACTTTCTTTCATTGCTGACATATCCAAGAGTCTGTCTGAGCCCCGCGCTGTCACTAGGAGCGTTGCGGAGTTCATGAGAATCTGGTACACGACTTGGTCGTGAAACAAGGTGTAGTCGAACCTGGCAGCCAAATGGGCTTCCTGCTCTTGTATCTCCCCGGCGACTCGACGGTCATTTGCGGCTCCTTCAAGACACACGACCCAGCAAGTGCCCTTGAACTGCCAGCTCAACATCCTGTCCAAGAAAGGTGTGAGACGCATTGATAAGCGAGAAGGACACAACATCGGAAATGAGGCACGCGTCAGTCACCGGGAAGCCAGAAGTACACCAAAGAATTCATAAAGGTCATTGAAGCAAAATCATGAACCCGAGAATGAAGGCAGTGACAATACAGCGGGGGGCACCACCGGATGGGTTCGGGCCCGCATCAAGAGGGATCATGCATGGTTCTGTCAATACTGTTAGTAGCGAAATAGCGACAGGCTCACATGCGTTCGTCGACACCTCTGGTAGAAAAAGCGGGGCAGTGTTACATATGCAAGCCGAGCGACAGAAACAACCAGAAGAAGGTAACGCCAGTCAGAACGCACATGGCCAGAAGCATGACCTCACATTGCAGTCAACATGTTAACAGTGGTGTCTGGCAAGAAGCTGACTGCAACCGTGAGGACGACACATTACGACCCAATGTCGCACATTGCGACCACCAATCAATCACCTGTGAAACGACAGTTCCTGTCCAAGCTTCTGAAAGGCTTCCAGCCAAAGGATTCCTGCGGATGCAGGGCATTTGCATACAAACTTGTGACACAGTGCGGAGCATGTCCGAAAGCTGACAAGGAGCTGCAAGAAGCACGCTTTGTCTATCCCTTGCAGCCCCACCTGATCCGAACCAGGTAATCTGCAAGAATGGTCAAGTCAAGCGCCAGCCGGACAAGGCTGGGAAAGAAGCCCAGAACGACCTGCAGCATCAGGGGCATTCAGAAATTAAAGCAGTGACTTGCAATCACTTCGATGTACGGGATCCGTACCCCTTCGGACAGTGGAAAGCGAGATTCACATTAATTTCGCGTTACTCGCGCGGCACGGCTGAGGTGCATCATAAGCCCCAACGAAACATGCCATCTGAACTGCAAGCCCTGTACCAATAATAAGGCAGGCCACGGCAAAGTAGTGCGCACTCAAACGCGCAAACTGTCTGGGCTGCAATGTCGTCAGCATATGAAGCCCTTAGCTCCAAGGCACTGCACTCCCAAAAGTAACCCCATTTCACTGTCTCTCGAACAATGCGGAACATTTCTCAACCGAGATCCGGTCAGCCAACAAAACGCAGCGACAACTATCTAAGTCTAGCTAGTGGGGCGACTTAGCAAGGTCTCCACACTTGCCGACCCGCTGCTGTCGAAGATATAGAAAAGTGCCGGCAATGTTGTGGCCACTGCAACACCGTAACCTTCAGGCACAACATCGCGAGATGCTGGCATGGTAAGTCTAAGGATAGCCCCCAGCATGTCTGAAGCAAAAGACGATCCCTGAACGCCTTGACCCATGCTACCGCGCACCAGCCTAAGCTTCGTAGACAGAGACCGCAACAAAAGCAGACAGGAAAAGTGCCACGGCAAGCACAGGGTGAATTGAAGAGGGAGTGCTTTCCATACCCGTAGAGTTGCACCTTCTCTCTGCCCTAAAACCTCAGGCTGATTGATTATGTGGACCGGGGTGCAAGAAATGCCTACTCGGCAAACAGGGCTGTCTCAATTTCAGTTGGCTAACAAAGTGCCGTGCAAATGCTGAATTGCCAGGCCAGTAGCTCACACGCGAGCCACCAACTTTCTTCAGGATGTAGTGGCCTTAAGTAAACCAGAGGCAGAACTATAACAAATCCGAAAAGAGAGCTTCATGTAAACTTGTTTGAGCAAGCATCTGTGAACGGCGTGGCGACTAGCACTAAACTGGCTGACGCGCGACAACCTCCCGCATTCGTGTCTCTAGCTTCGTTCCTCAGAGCTCGGGCTCAGCACCCGGCCGAACACCTCTTGCACATATCCTGGGATACACCGGCTGACAGCTTTCAAGTTGAATTAACTCTGCCAGTTGCGCAAACAGAGCCACTT